CCTCCACCTTTTCAAAACAGTCCCCTCCTCCACCTTTCAAACAGTCCTCCTCCTCCCCTTTTCAAACAGTCCTCCTCCACCTTTTCAAACAGTCCCTCCTCCACCTTTCAAACAGTCCCCCTCCACCTTTTCAAACAGTCTCCTCCCCTTTTCAAACAGTCCCTCCTCCACCTTTTCAAACAGTCCTCCTCCTCCATCTTTTCAAACAGTCCTCCTCCACCTTTTCAAACAGTCCTCCTCCACCTTTTCAAACAGTCCTCCTCCACCTTTTCAAACAGTCCCCTCCTCACCTTTTCAAACAGTCCCCCTCCTCCACCTTTTCAAACAGTCCCTCCTCCCCACCTTTTCAAACAGCCCTCCTCCTCCACCTTTTCAAACAGTCGTCCTCCTCCACCTTTTCAAACAGTCCCCTCCTCCACCTTTTCAAACAGTCCTCCTCCTCCACCTTTTCAAACAGTCCTCCTCCACCTTTTCAAACAGTCTCCTCCTCCACCTTTTCAAACGTCCTCCTCCTCCACCTTTTCAAACAGTCCCTCCTCCACCTTTTCAAACGTCCTCCTCCTCCACCTTTTCAAAGAGTCCTCCTCCACCTTTTCAAACAGTCCCCCTCCACCTTTTCAAACAGTCCTCCTTCCACCTTTTCAAACAGTCCTCCTCACCTTTTCAACAGTCCTCCTCCACCTTTTCAAACAGTCCTCCTCCTCCACCTTTCAAACAGTCCTCCTCCCACCTTTTCAAACAGTCCTCCTCCACCTTTTCAAACAGTCCTCCTCCACCTTTTAAACAGTCCTCCTTCACCTTTTCAAACAGTCCCTCCTCCACCTTTTCAAACAGTCCCCTCCTCCACCTTTTCAAACAGTCCTCCTCCTCACCTTTTCAAACAGTCCTCCTCCACCTTTTCAAACCGTCCTCCTCACCTTTTCAAACAGTCCTCCTCCTCACCTTTTCAAACAGTCCTCTCCTTCACCTTTTCAAACAGTCCTCCTCCTCCACCTTTTCAAACAGTCCTCCTCCTCACCTTTTCAAACAGTCCTCCTCCACCTTTTCAAACAGTCCTCCTCCTCCACCTTTTCAAACAGTCCTCCTCCTTCACCTTTTCAAACAGTCCTCCTCCACCTTTTCAAACAGTCCTCCTCCACCTTTTCAAACAGTCCTCCTCCTCCATCCTTTCAAACAGTCCTCCTCCACCTTTTCAAACAGTCCTCCTTCACACTTTTCAAACAGTCCTCCTCCACCTTTTCAAACAGTCCTCCTCCACCTTTTCAAACAGTCCCTCCTCCACCTTTTCAAACAGTCCCCTCCTCCACCTTTTCAAACAGTCCTCCTCCACCTTTTCAAACAGTCTCCTCCTCCATCTTTTCAAACAGTCTCCTCCTCCATCTTTTCAAACAGTCCTCCTCCACCTTTTCAAACAGTCCTCCTCCACCTTTTCAAACAGTCCCTCCTCCATCTTTTCAAACAGTCTCCTCCTCCATCTTTTCAAACAGTTCTCCTCCTCCACCTTTTCAAACAGTCCCCTCCTCCACCTTTTCAAACAGTCCTCCTCCACCTTTTCAAACAGTCTCCCTCCTCCACCTTTTCAAACAGTCCCCTCCTTCCACCTTTTCAAAAGTCCCCTCCTCCACCTTTTCAAACAGTCCTCCTCCACCTTTTCAAACAGTCCTCCTCCTCCACCTTTTCAAACAGTCCCTCCTCCACCTTTTCAAACAGTCCTCCTCCACCTTTTCAAACAGTCCCCTCCTCCACCTTTTCAAACAGTCCCCTCCTCCACCTTTTCAAACAGTCCTCCTCCACCTTTTCAAACAGTCCTCCTCCTCCACCTTTTCAAACAGTCCCCTCCTCCACCTTTTCAAACAGTCCCCTCCTCCACCTTTTCAAACAGTCCTCCTCCTCCACCTTTTCAAACAGTCCTCCTCCTCCACCTTTTCAAACAGTCCTCCTCCTCCACCTTTTCAAACAGTCCTCCTCCTCCACCTTTTCAAACAGTCCTCCTCCACCTTTTCAAACAGTCCTCCTCACCTTTTCAAACAGTCCCTCCTCCACCTTTTCAAACAGTCCTCCTCACCTTTTCAAACAGTCCTCCTCCTCCACCTTTTCAAACAGTCCTCCTCCTCCACCTTTTCAAACAGTCCCCTCCTCCACCTTTTCAAACAGTCCTCCTCCTCCACCTTTTCAAACAGTCCTCCTCCTCCACCTTTTCAAACAGTCCTCCTCCTCCACCTTTTCAAACAGTCCTCCTCCTCCACCTTTTCAAACAGTCCTCCTCCTCCACCTTTTCAAACAGTCCTCCTCCACCTTTTCAAACAGTCCTCCTCCACCTTTTCAAACAGTCCTCCTCCACCTTTTCAAACAGTCCTCCTTCACCTTTTCAAACAGTCCTCCTCCTCCACCTTTTCAAACAGTCCTCCTCCTCCACCTTTTCAAACAGTCCTCCTCCACCTTTTCAAACAGTCCTCCTCCACCTTTTCAAACAGTCCTCCTCCACCTTTTCAAACAGTCCCCTCCTCCACCTTTTCAAACAGTCCTCCTCCTCCACCTTTTCAAACAGTCCTCCTCCTCCACCTTTTCAAACAGTCCTCCTCCTCCACCTTTTCAAACAGTCCCCTCCTCCACCTTTTCAAACAGTCCTCCTCCACCTTTTCAAACAGTCCTCCTCCACCTTTTCAAACAGTCCCCTCCTCCACCTTTTCAAACAGTCCCCTCCTCCACCTTTTCAAACAGCCCCCTCCATCTTTTCAACAGTCCCCTCCTCACCTTTTCAAACAGTCCCCTCCTCCACCTTTTCAAACAGTCCTCCTCCACCTTTTCAAACAGTCCCCTCCACCTTTTCAAACAGTCCCCTGTGATCTAAATGAAACATCTGTGCTTTGGTCAAAATATAACATGAATCAAGCACCAGAGGAGGTTTGTGAGCCTGTATAAACCAGCTCTCTCAGAACGCTCCGTTTTGGTGTGTGTGTCTCTTTAAATGTAATGACCCCGCCCCCTGAGTTTTTCCCGTAGACATCACTCCTCTGTAGCGAGAATAAAAATGGCGGACCTGCGCAAAAGTTTTGTTCTAGTCTGGGGGTGGAGTCTATGGGTGGAGATATCAGGGGAATTTTATTTCACCAGAATCCCACTGTGACATCACAAGGAGAGCACATTTGAAACAGAGCATTTTTCTTGTGCAGACTTATGCAGACCACAAACAAAGGACTGGATGGGTTTATTTCACATGTTGTGGGTCAGTAGACTCTCAGGTTACACAGATAAATGTTCAGAAACACTGTAGAAGAGGATTTTTCATAATATGTCTCCTTTAAACTGTGATGACGTATGAGAGGTTACACGGCCGATGACTCACCTGATCTTTGGCAGGAGACGGAGAATCTGCAAAAACAATGAAGGAGTCACTGGAAGCTGTCTGCACGCTGCAGGACTTAGCATCAGAGGACTCCCTTCAGAAACAAAAAGAGACATGTTAGTATGATACCAAGCTCGACTCCAGAATCAGAATCTGAATCAGAGATACTTTATTAATCCCAGAGGGAATTTTGGACTTTGTGTCCTGATCGTAGTCTTACTCTACGCTTGTTGGTTTGGACGGACTGGCGAGGGCAGAATCTTCAGACACAGCTGACCCTGGAGATATCTGGAAGGACAACATTTTAACTACGTTAATCCTCCTGAACCAGGAGCACGATTATGTGCTCCTGGTTCAGGAGGATTAACGTAGTTCTGGTTCTGGAGAACCAGCACCATGTGAATCCTCCTGAACCAAGACCACATAATCCTCCTGAACCAGGACTTCCTCATCCACCCTGTGGTCTCTAATGTTCAGTGATGTTCCTGCGGTTAGATCTGTTCATGTTCTCACTACAAACAAATGGACTGCACCGAGTCCGAGACCCTCCTTTACAAGCGGTTTCTGTACGGTTGTCTGGTCCACACCCGGGTTTGATTGACAGCAGTAACAAACCGCACAGACTTTGCAAACGTACTGGAGTTAGTTTAAACAGATGAGGTGTGAAGCGGCCTGAGTTAACTCCAGTAAAGAGAGAGTTCCTGATAGTTAAATAAAAGACTCAAAGTGATATTAAGACGTAAGGTAAGGTCTTACATTACCTGGCTGTCAAAGTCAGACTGTTCCTGCAGAGCAGACCAGGCAAGCTGAGCTGCGTTCTGTTTGGCTTCCTTCACGCTCTTTCCCTCGCCAACCGGGTATTCCTTTTTCTCGATCACTACTTTGTAATAAAACCTGTTGAGAGACATTCAGATACACGTATAAAAGTTCTCTCTCGTGTCAGTGGGAAGTTTTCAAAGTGTGTTTTCGTCGTTCATACTCACTGAGGGTTATTAGGAAGACCACATCTCCTCTCAAACACGTAATCATGGAAGCGCTTTGATTTCTGGCAGTAGTTGTTGAGGAGTCCGATCACGTTTGTCTCGGGAAAATCTTTAACAATCGGACTCTTTGTCTTATCGCTGTAACCCAAAAAAACAATCAGAGAAGATTAAAAACCTTTGAATTACAGTCAGAAAATACTGCATCCCACGTGTTTGTTCTCACCAGACGTCTGCTTCTTGTTGACTTGATGCAAAGCTGCTTTTCTCATCTCCTGTCTTAAGAAAGAAGTTTCACAATAAAATTATTAAACTGCAGCTTGTGTGACGAAAAAAAAAAAGTCTGTCTGTCTCCTGCAGTGAGTCAGTCTCCATAGAGCTCTATGTTAAAATGTACAACTTTACAGCTGCAGTTCCTCCAGTGTCCACTAGAGTCTGTCTCCTGCAGTGAGTCAGTCCCCATAGAGCTCTATGTTAAAATGTCTAACTTTACAGCTGCAGTTCCTCCAGTGTCCACTAGAGTCTGTCTCCTGCAGCGAGTCAGTCCTCATAGAGCCCCATGTTGTCTCATTTTGTGGCAAACGCGATGATCTTTAATTTACTGGCTACTGAATCAGACGATATGACTTTGATAACTTGGCGTTTGCTAACCCTTCGCTCCTCTTCAGCTCCGCCCTCTCATCCATATATCGTCACACCTAGAAAACCAACATGGCGACGCCCAAAATACTGAACTACTATGATACTAATACTGATACTACTAATACTAATAGTATAATACTAATACTAATACTAATAGTAATACTACTAATACTATGATCCCTTACTTACCTCTGAGGTTTTACTGCCACGTATCTCCCGATACACAAGCTTGGCTGCTTCCTCTTTAGCTTCCTTTTTTGTTTTTCCCGTAGCCGCTGGATACGCCTTATCACCAACCACGAAGCTTCAGAGATAACAATCGCACAGATTCAAGATTCAAGATTTGTATTTGTCACATGCTCATACAGATGTGCAGTGAATTGTAACGACTGTTCCGCAAGGCCGTGCAATAAACACTGAAATTACTAATACACATAAATATAGCAATATAGAAATATAATGTAAATTTAAAAAATATATATATTTGAATATACAAAATATAGAATAATGTTAAAATAATAAGACGTTATTTTATAAACCTTCCAATGCTGACTAAACAACACTGATCGTACTCACTGCAGGGCGCAGTTTGCTCCCACTTGTGTTGACTCCACAGCTCGTATTTGAAGTCTTTGTCTTTGTCCATATTCATTGAGCCAACTGATGAAGTTGACCGTGCTGGTACCTGACTGATGGATCGGTGAAGCAGGAACTTCTGCTGTCTTTTCAGTCTGTGAACAGGATACAAATAAAATGCAAGGCCAGTGTGCAGGTGTTCTATATCACAGAATATAAAAACATAGAGAGGATTATCTCACAGCTTCAGTTTGGTCCTCCAGCACCCCGCTGAGGGCGTTTTTAGCCGCGTTCTGTTTGGCTTCCTTCTTGTTCTTCCCAACGCCATCAGGATATGTCTTTCCATTCAGGATGGCCCTGACGGTAAACCTGAGAGGAGATTATAAAACACTATATTAAACAGGAAACATGTCACACTGAGTGTGGACAACAGGAACGAGAGGAATACAAAGGAGAAACTCTTTCCTGCATTATTATCCCATACGATCTTTAGTAAAGCGTCTCCAGATAACACTTGCGCTTTACAAACAATGATTGATTGACTGATTGATGATGGCGCCGATTTGCGGTCTAAAAGCGGCTTCACACTCAAACGGCGCGCTCTGCTAAACCTGCTGCAACATTCACACTGACTTTGTTTCACCTCTGTTCCTGTTGCTCCCCTCTATTAGAGCTTTCACAGCTGCAGAAAACTCCTGAAGTGTTCATGCTGAGCGTCATGTGTGAACACAAACAGCTGAATGTTTCTCTCAGACTTTATCCAGAGTTTCTCCTCCTATTTATTCTGCAGGAAGTCAGAGTGAGCTGATGTGATCTGTTGAACTAAACAAAGAATTGATATAAAGGCAAATATTCTCATTATAGCATCGTATGTTGCTTCATCTGCTACTTCCAAGTTGTTTTTTTTACGTCATGTCTTACCTCAGGAGACCCCCCCCAGTCTGACAGGGATAGTCTCCTGCTGTGAGGTGCATGTGAGAACAGCCAGGAGTGAATATTTAAAAAAAAAAGCTTCACACTTAAATGTTTATGTATTTTAAAGGAGCAGTATGTAACTCTGACCCCTAGTGTTTAAAATGGGTACTGCAGTCTAAATTCTAAACATCATAGAGAGCTGTCTCCCCCCCTCCTCTCTAGAGTGGATGCTCACTCAGGTCACCATGTGGTGGACTCTGAAGCTTCAGTGTTTATCCAGCTCTGCATGGGTCTGTAAACCTTTCTGTGTTCTAACCTCTCTCCATTTTTCAAAAGCATCTCCAATATTGATCCTAGTTTGAGCACGTTTCTGCTCGTGGAGCTTATTAGAAACATGCAGAGGCTTTTTAGGTCGGGTACAATCACTTCTATCTGAACCACTTCTCTTGACCGCTTCCATCGCTGCAACACCTGTTGACCTGATAACTGCTCTCATATCTGGTGAACCGAGGGGTGTCCAAAACGGCCGTGTGGGGGTGTGTCTTAAAAGCGCCTACCTTCTCTGGTCCAAACAAATCCAGAGCATTCAGGAGCAGAATCTAAAGTTAGAAGGAGGACATACTGGCTGCTGCATTGTTGTCAGAGAAGCCAGCACTTCAACATAGCATGTTTCCTTAATGATCAGATAGTAAGATACCTTTATCATCTCACTCTCTACACAGCTCACTGATTGGACCTTTAAAAGCCCGGTTTTAGTTGGACTAACACATCAATTCCACTTTTCAAACTGCAGGTAAACGCTCTGAATGATATGACAGGATGTACAAACTAAACTGTGAATGTAAAAGGAGCTACAGATGACAATGTGCTGCAGGAGGAACCTTTACCTCTGAGCTCCTGGGACTAACAGTTCCTGATACTTTAGGATTATATTCATGTAAACAACACTGTGACATGTGTATTACAAAGTCATGAACTCCATGTCTGGATGGTTATTATTCTGTGAAGGACATAAAGTCAGCAGAATATAAACATGCAGTTCATCATATTACAGTCCAGAATAACGGTGCAGCTCATAACGCCTCCTGGTAACTTCTTCCACTCACGTTTTGATGTGGTCAGGGCCGACAGAGCCGACGTCTTCATATCTCAGCTGGCAGCGCTCCTTCTGCACATGCTCATTCAACTTAGCGACGTAGTTTTCAGCCTCCATACTTCCGTCAGCTGTTTGAATGTCTAAAACATTTCATTCAAATAATAATAATAAGTCTAAAGAGCGCTAATGTAACGTCACTTCACCTGTCCGGTCTTTATGGCCACCCTGCTTCCACGTCCGGGTCTTTCTGTCAACCCCTCCGCAGCTTTAAGTTTCGTTTTCCCGGTAAACGTCACACATGGTGCCTTCATGCGCCGTCGGAAATATCACTTCTCAGTGTATACCAATAAAAACTGTCCCTATTTCAGCCAAAGAAGGACACGTTAAGATGATAGAGCTTCAGCCCTTAGAGAAGCATTTATTATTTAAAAAAATATTTATTCATAATCATTATTATGAAACTGAAACTTTAGAACATCTGTTTTTTGATTGTGAAAACAAACGATCTTTTATGGGCAGTGGTTCTCAACTGGTGGGTCGGGACCAGGAGGTGGGTCGGGACCAGGAGGTGGGTCGGGACCAGGAGGTGGGTCGCAGAGTTGTTGTCAGTTGGTCGTGAATGTGCCCGAGGAAAAAAAAGTCTAGTCCCCAACTAAGGACTGACAAGGTCAGATTCGTCTGATTGTGCCCATCGTTGACTCGTCGACTTCTCAAAAACTTTTGGATTTTCAGCGATTAATCGTGATTTTAAAATGAATCGTTGACAGCTGTTTCATGCTTTTTAAACGGTTCATTTGCACGCGCCCCATGTGCTGAGGCCTGAATCCTTCATGGCGGTCAGACCAGGTCACTGACTCTGTCCGCTGTCCTGTCGCTAGATGAAGATAAATCTTTAATGTTTAATTTATTTATTCTAATGTTCTGTAACCTTTCCCTGTGTACTGTGCATCTGCACTTGATATGTTTTCTGTATTGTCTGTTCTTCATTAAGTACATGTGACTAACTGCAGCCAAATGTACCTACAGGTACAAATACAGGCACCTGAACCTGAGGCCGGTATTATTATAGTTATTATTATAACTGTTCTTTTTAAATTTCATTGAATAATGAGTCGAGGAAGGACCACTCAAACAAACAACTTAAAAAAACAACATTTAATGAAAACACAGGTTTGGACTTTCTCTTTAAATATTTGTCTAAAAAAAAAAAAAAAACTTAGCAAATCTTTTAAAAGTATAAATACTTATATCCTGAATAGCCAGAAAGGTGCAGTACAAACAGAGATTCTGAAGATGGAGGACAGATGGAGGATGAAGAAATGTACTGTGGCTGGGAAGTGAATACCAAAAACAACAAAGTGTGAAACTCTCTGACGAATGCTGACACACATTTACAACTCAGGTAGATCACTTTTAAATGTGTTCTACAGAGTTTATGGTGAGCCCACCTGAGTCTTTATGTTGCGTTTTATTTGATCTTGTGAATCAGAAATACCAAGTTGCCGGTCAGGAACGCCCTTCTTGAAGTCGGAATTCTGACTTGAAGAGCTAATCACACCTATTTGGTTTTTTGAACCAGGCTGTAAACATGTTCATCTCTGCTGTAAAAACAGGCTTTTTAGAATGGGTGTGTATGTGACTTCCTGTGCTTCGGCAGCCAGCCTCTAGTGGACACTCCAGGAACTGCAGGATTTTACACTTCACACTTCATTCTTCAACGCCAGAGGTTGCTGCTTGGTTTCACACTTTGTAAATTTGTTTGGCACTTCTCAGCCACCGTATAAAAGTTCTCCTAATTCTGATCACACAACAGTTTTTTTTTTTTTTTTACAGCTGAGCTCAAGTTTCACATGAAATCTGTCTGCGCTCTTTAACAAACATTTCTTTAACGTCTTCTGTGCAGCTTCATTCATGGTCTGCGGCGGTGTCTCCAGGACAGTTGGAGCATAAGTCGTCTTCGTCTGTGAACAAAGAACACGTTTTAAAGAACACCAGCAGAGACAACGATGACAGTACTGTCGTCACCATGCTTACCGTTATAGGTGGTCCCGCACCAAATACAGTAAAAATGGACTCCTCTCAGGTAGGACGTCAGGATCTGAAGTTTGTCAAAGGACTGAGAAGGAAGAGGAAGAAAATCAAGTGAACTCCATGTTTCTGTGACGCGTTTTAAAGAAAGGTGATAACAACATTTATATTAATTCATTCAGATTTTAAATGACATCACTGAATGAGAAGGTGAAGACTCACAGTTAACTGCTCCGTCTCTTCCTCCTCCTCCTCCTCCTCTTCCTCTTCCTCATCCTTAGGAGCATCCTCCTCCTCATTGGGCCAGTACCACTCCTCTCTGGGGACGCTGATGCCCTGAAAACACGATTCAACCAAAGAAGGTTTCACACAAAGCTAAAAATCTAATTACTGAGTGAATTAATGAAAAATGAATTGTGAACAAAGTGTTGATTTTGTTCCCCTGCCTCACTCGCTTAGTGCTCAGACCTCCATAACATTTCTGAACAGAGCAGAAATATGTCTTCATCTTCTATCATATTAAGCCTCTTTTTCAAGTTTGAAGGTCGTCTTTATTCTCGCTGTGAGAGAGCGATTTGTTCTGCAGTCAGCAGTAAAAACAAACATCCAACCTGAGATTACAAGAAGTTAAAGTCCAATGGACAATAAATACAAGAGATAAGAGCAGGAGGTCTCAGCAGCTCAGTGCTGCAAACATGTACCCCCCCACCCTGGGTCCCTCTGGTCACTTCCTGTCAGCCCCTATGGTCACTTCCTGTCAGCCCCTGTGTGTCTGATCAGTCTAAAAGCTGTTTGTTTACACTTCCTGTCGTTGTCTCCTCCTCTCTTCATCCTTACTTGTGTTGCTCTGACTCTCTGATGTTCGTTACTTTGGATAAAAACGTCTGATCATTTAATTGTAGAATTGCTTGTTTAATCGCCCTCGTGGCGCCGCGTCGGCGATGTCTGACCTTCTGACTGTCGAGCTGCTCGCAGGCTCGCCGACTCCTCCTGAGATCTCCTTCGATCTTGCGCTCCTCTCTCTCCGTCCGCACTCTTGACCTGATGAAACACAACATTAAACTCTGACACACCTGGAGAACATTTAAGAAAGGAGACGGTGCATCGAGAAGACAAACTTCACCTGAAGTCTTCCAGAGATTTGGTTTCATTCTGTTGGCTGGCTCGTGCTTTCTGTCGATAGTTTTCCAGTTCTTCCTCGGCTTTTCTCTTCTTCACCTCTTCCATTCCAATGCCCCCTCTGTCTGATTCAGAATGAACACAAACACAGAAATCAGTTGGATAGAGAGCGTGAACACAAAGACACCATCGCTTTAAATCGAGATCTTACGACTTGGTTAACATATCTATTGAGGCATATAAGGCTAGAGGTGTCAAACATCTAATATCACTGATATATAAGGGATTACAGAATTCAAAAAAACACTCTACTACTCAGGTCAGACAGAAGTGGGAGAGGGAATCCGGCCAGGAGATATCTGAGGACGACTGGAATGACATTTTGAACAATCTGTCGGGAATTCTGCTGGAAGAACTGAATTTGTTTCTTTATAACCCCAAAGTTGAAGTTTTTGCAGCAGGGTTCTCAGGATCAGAACAAATGTTGGAGGCAATGTGATAAATCAATGGCAGATCACTTTCACATATTTTGGGATTGCTCACAGGTCCAGCCATTTTGGAGGTTACAGAAGTAATGAGTGTCATGTTTAGAATAAACGTGGACTGCTCTTTTATCACACTATACCTGTCAGATGATAAACATCTGTATAAAGTCCTTCTGGTTGCAGCTAAGAAAGCAATCACAGGGAGTACCGTATGAGCAGTATGATTGGTTAGCAATAATCAACGAAATACACCGCATGGAGAGGCTGAGCTTCTCATTAAGGCTGAAGTGTGACCAATATATAAAAGTCTGGAGGAAATGGAATATGTACTGTACAGAATGTAACTCTTCTTAAATGAAAAACCCTGATTTGTGTATTTTGACTAATGTATGGCCCGTGTTACCTTTTTTCTTTTGTCTTGTTTTAGTCTGAAAATATTAAAAAAATAAAAAAATCTAGATCTTACCTGTTTTAATATTTAGGGGAATAGGATCCACCCTCCCTGCACCTGATGGGGTCACACACATGAACATTAGCGGTGATGAAAAGTGAAAACATTAAAGAATAACAAAGACTTCTAAAAACACAAACTCGCCCTGCTTCCCGAGGCCTTGGCCGGCTTTGTAACCCATCTTCTGCAGGAGAGCGAAGCCCTTGTTCTGACTGCTGAGGGAGTTTTGTAAAGCCGCTTCTCTACTTTCTTTCTCCTGCTCTTTGAAGCTCTTCTGTCGGTTCTTCACGTTCGTCTCCTGATGTTGGCTCTCCTTCTTCACCGCTTCTTTGACCCTCCTCACCATGCTGACACCTGGTTTCACATCCTGTCTGAAGAACAAAGAAACCGCAATTCAATTCAATTCAATTTATTTGTATAGCGTCAACTCATAACAAGTGTTATCTCAAGACACTTTACAAAAAGCAGGTAAAAGACCTTACTCATTGTTATGTTACATAAAGCAGGTAAAAGACCTTACTCATTGTTATGTTACATAAAGCAGGTAAAAGACCTTACTCATTGTTATGTTACAAAAAGCAGGTAAAAGACCTTACTCATTGTTATGTTACAAAAGCAGGTAAAAGACCTTACTCATTGATATGTTACATAAAAGCAGGTAAAAGACCTTACTCA